GCTAAGGGTCTGTCGATTTTGTTTATTTTTTCAAAGAACCAACTTTTAGTTTTGTCAATTTTTTCAATTGTTTCTTTTGTTTCGATTTCATTAATTTCAGCTCTGATTTTAATTATTTCTTGCCTTCTACTTCTTTTGCTGTTGTTTTGCTCGTCTTTTTCAAGGATTTTGAGATGAAGTATGAGATCATTTATTTGTTGGTTTTTTCTTTTTTTAAGGAATGAACTCCAAGCAATGAATTTTCCTCTTAGAACTGCTTTCAATGTGTCCCATAGATTCCGATATGTTGTGTCTGTGTTTTCATTTATCTCTAAGAATTTTTTAATTTCCTCCTTGATGTCTTCTATAACCCATTGATCATTCAGTAACCTATTGTTCATTCTCCAAGTGATGTATGCTTTTTCCTTCCTTCTTTTATCGTTGATTTTCAGTTTCATTCCATTATGATCAGATAAGATGCATGGTATTATCTCTACTCCTTTATATTGTCTAAGAGTTGCCCTGTGACATAATATATGATCTATTTTTGAGAAGGATCCATGTGCTGCTAAGAAAAAAGTATAATTGCTTGATGTTGGGTGGTATACTCTTTATATGTCAATTAAGTCTAGGTTATTAATTGTGTTACTGAGTTCTATAGTTTCCTTATTCAACTTTTGTTTGGAAGATCTGTCCAGTGGCGAGAGAGGTGTGTTGAAGTCTCCCATGATTATGGTATGGTGGTCTATTAGACTCTTGAACTTGAGAAGAGTTTGTTTGACGAACATAGCTGCACCATTGTTTGGGGCATAAATATTTATGATTGTTATGTCTTGTTGGTGTATGGTTCCCTTAAGCAGTATGTAGTGTCCCTCTTTATCCCTTTTGATTAACTTTGGCTTGAAATCTATTTTATTTGATATGAGTATGGTCACTCCTGCTTGTTTCCGATGTCCATATGAGTGATATGATTTTTCCCAACCTTTCACCTTCAGCCTATGTATGTCTTTTCCTATCAAATGTGTCTCCTGTAGGCAGCATATTGTTGGGTCTTGTTTTGTGATCCATTCTACTAGCCTGTGTCTCTTAATTGGTGAGTTTAAGCCATTAACATTTAGGGTTATTATTGAGATATGGGTTGTTCTTCCAGCCATATTTGTTTATTTATGTTACTAAACATGGTTTGTTTTCCTCTTTGATTATTTTCCCCCCCTTTACTGTCCTACCTCCCACTGTTGGTTTTCATTGTTATTTTCCATTTCCTCTTCCTGTAATGTTTTGGCGAGGATGTTTTGAAGAGATGGTTTTCTAGCTGCAAATTCTTTAAACTTTTGTTTATCGTGGAAGGTTTTAATTTCATCTTCCATCCTGAAGCTTAATTTCGCTGGATACACAATTCTTGGTTGGAACCCATTTTCTTTCAGTGCTTGAAATATGTTATTCCAGGATCTTCTAGCTTTCAGAGTCTGTGTTGAAAGATCAGCTGTTATCCTGATTGGCTTACCCCTAAATGTAATCTGTTTCCTTTCTCTTGTAGCTTTTAAAATTCTCTCCTTATTCTGTATGTTGGGCATCTTCATTATAATGTGTCTAGGTGTGGATCTCTTATGATTTTGCACATTCGGCGTCCTGTAGGCTTCTAGGATTTGGGATTCTGTCTCATTCTTCAAGTCTGGGAAGTTTTCTCATATTATTTCATTGAATAGACTGCTCATTCCTTTGGTTTGGAGCTCTGTACCTTCCTGTATCCCAATGACTCTTAAGTTTGGTCTCTTAATGTTATCCCATATTTCTTGGATGTTCTGCTCATGGTTTCTTAACAGTCTTGCTGAGCTGTCTATGTTCTTTTCCAGTTGAAATACTTTGTCTTCATTGTCTGATGTTCTATCTTCTAAGTGTTCTACTCTGCTGGTAGTATTCTCCATTGAGTTTTTAAGTTGGTTTATTGCTTCCTGCATTTCTAGGATTTCTGTTTGTTTGTTTTTTATAACCTCTATCTCCCTGTATAGTTGATCCTTTGCTTCCTGGATTTGTTTGCGTAATTCATTGTCGAAGTGATCTTTCATTGTCTGATTTTGCTGTCTAATGTCTTCCTTGATACTCCAGATCATCTGAAGCATGTATATCCTGAATTTTTTATCTGACATTCCATCTGCTGCAGCTGTTACCTCTTCTAAAGTTGCGTTGACCTGCATTGCTTGTGGTCCTTTCTTTCCTTGTCTTTTCATACTGCTTGCGTATCTTTCCTGCAGGCGCGGGCGGCGGCTCTGCTCTCTCCTTATTCCAATTGGGGTGTCGTGGCTACCACGCCAGCAGGTCACTGGGCCTGTTCTGGGCGCTGGCGGCGGCTCTGTTCTGCCCCTACTCCAATTGGGGTGACAAGTGTACCACGCCGGCAGGCCACCGGGCCTGATCCGCCAGTCGGTTGCAGGTTTGCCTACCCTGCAGGCGCGGGCGGCGGCTCTACTCTGCCCCTACTCCAAATGGGGTGACGTGTCTGTCGTACCGGCAGGCCACTGGGCCTGTCCCGCTGGTCGGTCGCAGATCTGCCCACCTTTCGGGCACGGGTGGAGGCTCTGCTCTGCCCCTAGTCCAATTGGGGTGGTGTGTGTACCACGCCGGCAGGCTCCTGGGCCTGATCCGCCGGTCTGTCGCAGGTCTGCCTACCTTGGAGGCGCGGGCGGCGGATCTGCCCTGCCCCTCCTACCACGCCTGCGGACCCCTGGGCCTGATCTGCAGGTTGGTCACAGGTCTGCTCACCCTGCGGGCACGGGTGGCGGTTCCGCTCCGCCCCCACTCCAATTGGGGTCACGTGGCCACCACACCGGCAGGGCCTGATCCGGGCGTGGGAGAAGGATCTGCTCTGCCCCTACTCCAGTTGGGGTGACGTGTGTACCACACTGGCAGGCCACTGGGCCTGACCCGCCAGTCTGTCACAGGTCTGTTTACCTTGCAAGCGCGGGCGGCGGCTCTGCCCTGCCCCTCCTACCACGCCCATGTACCACTGGGTCGCGGGTCTGCCCACCTTGCGGGTGCGGGTGGCGGCTCCGCTCCGCCCCCTCTCCAATTGGGGTCACGCGGTCACCACGCTGGCGAGCCGCTGGGCCTGCTCCGGGCGCTGGTGGAGGCCCGGCTCCTCCCCTCTGGCTCGACAACAAATTGAGGAGACTCGGGTGTCTGTGCCTCACCCCCCCTACCAGGAGACCAACTGTTTCTGTCGCCGCTGGTATTGATGAAGTTCTCTCCTCCGCCGCTTTCTGATGACATCAGATCTCTGCCATGTTGGTATCCTATGCGAATGGCAGCATTTCGTTCCCCTTGCTGGGCAACCAAAGCAACGGGTGAGTCCTGACCGGCCCTCAGCAGGACCCGGACCGAGAAGCAGTTTCCGTGGGCTCCTAACCCTGGGCCAGGGCAGTTCTGGGAGCCGGAACTCGGCCTCTCCGTGCTCGGTGTAAGCTCCATTAAGAGTAGGCTCCAAGAAGCAGTCCCCGCGGGCTCAGTTCCAGGAGCCGGAATTCGGCCGCTTAGTGCTTGGTGTATGCTCTGATAGGAGCAGGGTCCAAGAAGCAGCCTCCGCAGGCTCCCCAGCCCTGGGCCAGGGCGGTTCCGGGAGCCGGAACTCGGCCGCCCCGCGCTCGGTGTTCGCTCCGATAAGATCAGGTTCTAAGAAGCCCCCAGGCACTGAACCCTAGCAATCTGTCTGCAAGCTGCAGGCGAATGGCAGACTGAAATTACCTGTTCTATGGCTGAATGAGCTGCGGTCAGTCGAAAGCAGGGATGGTGACGTCAGCTTTCCAACATGGTGGCTGCTGGCCTCCTCTGTGGTCTGACCGGTGTGGAGAACCGAGATGGACCGCTTCCTTCCCCCGTCTCGAACCCAGAATTCAGCCCTGAGTACGGTGCTTGCACGGCTGGCAGAAACTGCAGCGCTGTATCCCTGCGTCGCTATCTCCTCGTTTCCCAGCGCGCGCTGCAGACTCTTACCGCCTAGTTAACATCTTGTTGTAATTTCTTTTATGGAAATCTCTGGTCTCTCAGCATTTGGCTAAATAGCTACAATTATAAGAACTCCCTTGGGCAGCTCATTCCATTATTTTCCAAATGTCTTGTTCCTTGCAATATCACCTCACAAGACCTAGCTTCCCTTCTCAGACACCATAATATCTCTTCAATTACTCAACTCTGCCATACTAGTGTGAAAACAGCCTTAGAAAACAGTGAAGTGAATGAGCATAGCCATATTTGGTCCAAGGGTGGTTGTCTATCCATGCTTTAACTTATTTACTAGTATCCTAATATATGATGCTCAGAAACTAATGTCTGATGGTTAAGAGCTGGGCTTGGCAGACAAACAGTCCTGAGTTCAAATTCTGGGTCTATCACTTGCTAGATGGGTGATATTGGCAGGCTTTCAAACTCTCCATTACTTAATTTTCTTATCTGTGGAATTATATTTAGTTAGAGCTCCAAGTTCAGAAAATTATTGTGAAGAAGAAATGGTATAATGCATATAAAGTGCTTGACATGTATTCATTTTGGTTTAGGTATCACCATCAGCATCACTACCACCACCATTATCGGTATCAAAGTAAATGGTTGAGAACAGTTCTTCAGATGTGGCTGCTCCAGTTTTCTCTGTGGTTCTTATAATATTTTAAAATAATTATTATTCTTTGCTTTTAATGATACTCTATAGTTTATATTTTCACATTTACCATACCTTTAAATATAGTTATAGATTGCTTATTTTATATAAAATGTATATGGTAATTTTGAAACATAATAAATACCTGTTATAATGTACATTGATATATCACAGAGTATGTTATAATAGTGGTTAAAAATCACAGCCTTTGTGCCTTTAGTAATGCACATGGCACCTCTCCCAGCACCACCAAAGTCTGTAATGTATTGGTCATCCTTGCCTTTTCACACAAGCATTATATAACAAGAGCTATTCAAAGAAGCAAAACAGTTCTATTCACTTTCTTTCTTTCATCCTTTAAAATCAACTAGAAAAGAACAAAAGAATAAAGACCTACCTGATAAGCCGGGAAAGCAAAAAGACCCGAATACCATTCTCTGACCTTGGAATTGGTGAAATCCAGGTAAGAAGAGAGACCTGGAGAGACATAATAGTAGATAGTCTGTTAGGAATAGGGGTCATCACAGTAAAATGTGTCATAAAGAAGGTATCAGATGTGAGAACCAGATAATCAATGGGCACTTTACAACATTCCTTAAAGATAGGTGAGAGAGGCAAGGTCTCCAAGAAGTGAATGAAGGTTCTACTGAACTCCAGTGAAAATCACTAGACCTTTCAGCACCAGAGGCCCTGGGAAATGTCAGTGAACAAGCATCAAGACACAGCATGTCCCTCTCTGATGGCCTAAGATAGCCCAGGTATTATATTATTATTATTATTATTATTATTCTCCTTCTCCTCCTCCTCCTCCTTCTTCTTCTTCTTCTTTTTTTTAAGACTGAGGATTAAACCCAGGGGTGCTTAACTACCAAGCCACATCCCTAGCCGGGTTAGAAGAGCAAAGAACAATCACAGGAGAGAACCTGCAGGATGCTTTTTTTCTTTTCCTCTTTCCTTCCCTTTTCTCATTCATTCTCTCTTTCTCTTTCCCTCCCTCCCTCTCTCCCTCTTTTTTTGTTACTGGGGATTGAATCCAAAACCTCACACATGCTAGGCAACACTCTACCATGGAGCTATACTCCCAGTCCTTTAAAACATTTATTTTGATTCAGGGTCTTGCTAAGTTGCTGAGATTGGCCTCAAACTTGAAATCCTCCTGCCTCAATCTCCCAAGTTGGATTATAGGCATGTGCTATGATTCCTCTACTTCTTATCTCTATTTGTTTAAAGAAATATGCATGCCACTGAGGTTTGCTTATTTGTTTGTTACATTCATTCAATTACTGATTAATAAATATATCCAAACATATATTTCCAATGGTACCAGGTTGTTATAGTTTAGATCTTACATGTCACCAAAAGCTCATGTGTTGAAGGCTTGGTCTCCAGCTGAGAGATGGTTGAAACTTTAGGAGGTGGGACCTGGTTGGAGGAATTAGGTCATTGGAGCTGTGTCCTAGAAAAGTATAATGGGACTCTGTCTCCTTTTTCTCTCTTGCTTTCTGTTCTCTGTGAAGTGTGCAGCTCTCCTCTGCCATATGCTTCCATTATGATATACCACTATGATATACTGCCTTGGCACAGGCCCAAAAGCCATGGGGCCAAATGATTCTGGACAGAAACATCTGAAACTGTGAGCTAATATAAATATTTTTCCCTTCAAATTAATTTCTTCAGGTATTTTGTCACATAGGGAGAAAGCTGACTAACACACAGATGTTATGAAAGATACAAAGAAGGCAATACTTTCTTTCCTTGAAGGTGCCTAAGATGTAAGTAGAAGAGTAGATACTTACTAGAAATGAGAACAACAGCCATGTAACCTTCATTAATTGGTACTAAATAATTGGAAATAGTAAGTATATAAAGCAATATCATACCAGGCCAGCATACTCCTTCAAAGTCACTCCCTTCACGATTTCTCACAAAAAAGCCCTGTTCTTTGGCCTTAGTGTAAACTGAGTAGTCAGGATCAATCTTGATGTGGGGGTCACTGATGACCACAAGCTGTCAGGACATAAAGGTTTGAAGATATCATCAAGTTTTATGGTTAGACTTAATATTCATTTATATGTCTTCACCATAGTTTTAGGGTAAAATTTTATTTTGAAACAATTACATCATCATGAAATATTTCATACATCAGTAAAACTCTATAGTCTTCTGTGTGCTCAGAAAAATTAAAACTGATATCAAAACCAGGCCAATCAAAACCAATACCAATGCTGCTATGAATATAGGTGTACAAATATCTGTTTGAGTTACTGCTTTAAGTAAGTTCTTTTGGGCATATATCCAGAAATGGGGATTGCTGGATTATATCTTGATTCTATTTTTAATTTTTTTAAAGAACTGCCATATTGTTTTCCAAAGCAAATGTACCATTTTGCATTCCTGTCAACAGTACACAAGTGTTCCAATTTCTCTACATCTTCACCAATACTTACTTACTACTTCTTAAATAGTACCCCTCCTAATGATGTTAAATGGTATTTCACAAATAAAAGTTTTGATTTGCACTTTCTAATGATTAGTGATGTTGAGCATCTTTTTGTAGCTTGTTGGCAATTTGTCTGTTTTCTTTGGAGAAATGTATGAAGTTTACCCATTTAAAATTTTTTGCTGTTGTTGTTAAGATGTAGGAGTTTCTTATAAATTCTGGCTATTAACCCCCTTTTAAGAAGCTTTTAATATCTCCAAATGTATCCAAAGAAGCCTATAATAAGGCCCAATCTTTCTGGACAGATTCCCTACTATTCAAAGCTTCACATGCTTTGCTCTTTCAAAACAGCCTCTGTTTAGCTTTCAAACATCCATCAATGCTCCATCCTCTAATTACATTGCCTTCTTCCTTCCCTCTTTTCCACTAATTAGAGACTCATCCTTCAGGGGTACCCTACAATATACCTGTGACACAAACTCCTGACTTGAGTTCTCCAGTAGGTTAAAATCTTCCCTCTCTTGGCCCATTCCCACTCCAAACTTTCTTTGGCTCTCATGTTACTGCCCTGTATTGTGGTTACTGCATACTTGCCTTTCCCCCACTTGCTGGAAGACCCCGAGGAGTTCATCTCTGCATTCCCTTCAGTACTAGCACAACCTCTTGAATGTTCAGAGGCCTCAAAAAACAACCACAGAAATTTCCACAAGGACAGAAATTTCTAGAGCCAAGCAGACCAGTGTTGATTCTTGCTATGCTACTTATTCACCGTGTGAAAATTACCAAATCACTCTAAGTCTCAGCTTCTTTATCCAAATAATGGGGTAATAAGACTATTATAATATATTTTATTACACTGTCTACCTTATAGTAAGTACTTAACAAATGATGCTGTTTTAGAGTTAACAAGATTGATTCTAGAGACCTGTGAGAAGTTTGAGGATCAAAGGAATGGGTTGAAAAGGCAACTTTAATACTAAGGAAACCACCCACACAAGCCCTTGTAGGACCTACGCTCAGTAGGCCCGGTTTACACTCCCTGGCAGGGCAGACATCTGCCAATGCATTCTGCTGTCATATATAAATAAAAAAATTAACCAAGTAAACATAGATGTTATACTACATGTTATACTACTACATGTACACATATTGATGGAAATAAAATTATTTTTATGAAAAAAAAACAAGGAGAGGGATTGTATCTATTTATATAATGTATATGGGGTTCACCCCCTTCTCCTCTCTCCATTTTCTTTTCTCCCTCACTCTCTTATTAGAATAATCACTGCCACGTCCATACAGGAAAGAAGCACTCTACACTTTCTGATGATTCCTCCTCTTCTCCATTTTTTATCATTTCTTTCCTTGGCCAGACTTACAGAGTCCACCAGGGAAGCCTGAAGAAAAAAAGAATAATAAAGAATCTGACTCCATTTTTTATATTTGGCTGTTCAGGATTTTCAAGCCCCACCATTCCCTCTTACCTTTCTGCCCACATCTGGGTAAGCTGACAGGAAGTCCTGGTGCTCCCTCATTTGGTGCCAATAGAAGGTTCAAACCATGCAATGCAAGCCCTAGCCCATAGGTAACAATCCTTACCCTGGAGAGTGAGTGCACTCTAGTGCCACCCTCTAGCCACCTAAGAGCCAGTCTCCTTTCTCAGCAATCTATGGTCATTTTCAAATCATCTTGGGAGCTGACCCTATTCTCCCCAGAAGGCCTCATTTTGTGATGAACTTTCTCATACATCCTTAGTACATGTGTACAGTATTATCAAATTTCATACTAGAACAAAAGTTTGGTATGGTCAAATCCATCATGTTACTACAGGGTAGCTAAAAAAAGAGAACTGAAAATGCTAGGCCTCTTCATCATTCTGTAGACATAAACAACTAAGGAAGGGATGGATGGAGTTAATACCTTTTCACCATTCGATTTCTGTTATCACAATTATAATTACATTTGAAAGTACCATTTTCATGGACTATTTTTTTTTATTAAATGGTTTTCTTCCACTAATGTACCAACACGAACTTCAAATAATTTTAAAAGCTTGTAATGAAAAGTTTAAAAATGTTGGCTTGTTCTACCTTACGTTTTTTGCTCCCGAGCAGCTCTTGCATCCTTTTGGGGTTTGCAAATCTTTTTTTATCCCAGGTGAAGTACCTCTTGCCCTCAGTGTGCTCTATGTCCAGCCATATGACATCATAAGGAATATCATGTTCATCAAATCCTGCATCCACTGCCTTTACATCTTGCTCATCTTCATAGTTCCAGCGGCACTGGTGATACCCCAAGGAGAACAAAGGGGGCATGGCTTGTGTACCTAAAGACAAAAATGAGAACTGAGTCAACTACCATAACAATGATCATCATTTGGTGAGCATTTTCCCAGTGGGTACTAGTAAGCACTGAGCTTGTACGTACATAGAATATCAAGGAGAAGAAAGCATAGCTCTTGCTTTCAAGGAAGTAGCAATTAGGGTGATAAGCAAGCATATAAATAAACTGCTTTGAATTGAGGTATAACTGCTATGTTAAAGGTATCAGCCTAGTGCTTTGGGACCAATTATTGGGAAACCAATGAATTCTTCCTTGAGTTAAGTGTGGGGTCTTGAGAGGCTTCAGAGAACAGGTAATACTGGTTTGGATTCTTATGAATAAACATAAGTATACCCTATAGGGAAAAAACAGATAGAGCATACGGGCATAGGGAACAGAAGAGACACAGAGGCAGATATGCACATGACAGGCTTAGGAAAAAAATAAATATTTCAGAGTGTTACAGTGTAAGGGAGATAAGTAAAGGATGAAACTGGAGAGGATCAGTTTGTATAGGGTCCTTTAGTTCAGGTTAGCAATTCTGAATCTTCTTTTATAGGAGTCATAAAAATTTGGCAAAATGTAACCTTCCTGATCTTTATTTTAAAAACTGATGTCAGGGAGCACTGTTGAATCTGACTTAAAGGGAAATAGAAGTAAGGAAGAACTGTCAAGACATTATTGTCAAAACATTTACTTATACTATGGAGGACATTTGGTCAACCACTTGGATTTACCTTGTTCCTCTCCCAAAGTCTTACTAAAATCAAGGTAAAGAAAATAAAAAATGAATAAAGCCATAAAAACAGAATGGTGAAAGAGTAACTTCAACAAAACAAAACGGAAAGAAGAGGGCAGGGGAAGGATGGTAACTGCTGAGCACAGCCAGGGAAGCTCTCACCTGAGTGCTTGAGGGAAGCATACAGATGAAGAAGAAAGCTCGACCCTGTCCCTAGTATACAAGAAGACAGAAGAATATTCCAACTCCCACCCCTATACTGGACTATAAGATCATTCAGGCACACAGAACTTCCAGGCTGAACCACATTTTTTAAAAAAATTTTTTATGCCTTTGTTTATTTATTTTTATGTGGTGCTGAGGATCAAACCCAGGGCCTCGCATGTGCTAGGCAAGCACTCTACCACTGAGCTACAATCCCAGCCCCAGGCTGAACCACATTTGAGGAAAATCTCTAAAATTAGATTCAGAGGCCCAAGTAAAGAAATAGAATAAAAGTACCTCTGAGAAAACAGTGACAATGCAAGCAACCAAAGTAACAATCATCAAAACATTATCATTAGTATTTCTGGAGATGAAAAAGAATTTGCACCCATAATACACAAATATAATAGCATAAACCAAGCATGAGGTGTTATTAACAAGTAAAAAATTAGAGAATAAGAAAGTACTCTTTGACATTAGAAATAGGATAGAATAAATGGAAGGTCTGAAAGGCAAAATTGTGAAAATTGCTCAGAAAATAGGCAAAAAAAGGGAAAGGAGATAAAAAAAACCTGTAAAGGAGAAAGGGAAAAAGGAGAGGAAGAAATTATAAAAGGAATAACATAAGGTTGTATTCCTGAACTAAACAACAAAATTCTCAAGATTGAAAGGGTCCACATTTAAAACCCAGCATAATAACAACAATAATTATTATTATTTTGCAGTACTGGGGATTGAACCCAGGGGTGCTCTACCAGTGAACAATATACTCAGCCCAGCTTATTTTCTTTTGAAACAGGGTCTCACTAAATTGTTCAGGTTTATCTTGAACTTATGATTTTCTTGCCTCAGCTTCCCAAGGAGGAGTAGTGAAAGTGGGAAGCCTATCTTGTTTCTGATATCAGAGGGAAGCTGATAGGTTTTCCTTTCTTTTTGTGGTACTGGGGAATGAACTCAGGGTGTTGTGCATGCCAGACAAGTGCTGCATCACTAAATTATATTCCCAGCCCAGGTTTGTAGTCTTTTAAAGATAAAATGCTTTATTGCTAAAACTAGTGGGTGTGGGTTTTGTTTTTTTTTTTTTTTTGGCACTGGGAATCAAATCCAGGGGAGCTTTACTACTGAGCAACATTCTGGCCATTTTCATTTTTCTTTTGAGTTACTTAAGGCCTTGCTGAATTGCTGAGATTGACCTTGAACTTTCTTTCTTTTTTGTACCAGTGAGTGATTCCAGGAGTACCTAACCACTAGTGCTACATCCCCAGGCCTTTTTTGTATTTTATTTTGAGACAGGATCTCACTGAGTTACTTAGGGCTTTGAGTTTTGTTTTGAACTCTTGATCCTCCTGCTTCAGCCTCCTGCACTTGGGATTACAAGTGTGAGCCACCATGCCTGGTTTGACCTTGAACTTTCAACCCTGCCTCAGGCCTATTAAGTTTCTGTGATTATAGGTGTTAGCGAACATGCCCAGCATTTTAGTGGTATATTTAAATGGAAAAAAAAAAGCATGGAAAAGTTCAGGTTGGAATATTGGTTATGTAAATTATATAAATTAGATAATACCCAGGGACTAAATGTGCCAAGGAAAGTAGACGGTGAGTATTAGGGATTAGAGTGTACAGTTCTAGATTCAGTATAATTTTTAACTGTGCTAAGTGGTATGAGGGTGGGAAGGGTAAACCTTGCTACTTAAATTGCTTAGGTAAGTTGTTTATAGATCCTACATAATGTACAATAAATATTAACCTTCAGTGATGATACATGAGATAGGGGAAACATAATGGAACTATAAAATGGCACCTCTACATGCAAACCTGTAAGGTAGGAGTACTGCTTAAAGACATCAGAAGGTGTAGGTCCTGTCAGCAGAAAAACATCAATGATTCCACTCTCTGATATCCAGCACACATCAGTTCGAGATATGACCTTTTGTTTAGCAGCAGCTGGGCCCACCTGTGTCCATGTATACTGGAAAAGGAATGGAATAAAAATTTGAGAAATTTCCTCTAAACTATGATACCAATTGTATGTAAATCCACTCCTTTAGATAGTACTGACCTTCACTGATTACACTCAAAGCTTCTGGTGGCAAAAAACTGCCACCAAAAAGAAAAGCTAGCAGTGGTTTTATTTTTTCTCTAAGTATGACATACAATCATGATCCACAGCTTACCTCTACTGAAGGTTGTGTATTGATCTCCACTAGTGTTTCTGAGGCATTCAGCCAGAAAATGCCTATAGTCCTGCCCAGTTTGTGGGCCAAGAGATAAGGCACTGAGCCATAAATGCCCATTTTGTCATGTATTTTATATCCATAGACATCCAGGTTATAAAGACGGTAGGCATCTCCATCCCTAAAACATAAATGAGGATTATCATCAAATACCATTACAAATGTATAAATAACGAATAGGACAGCTCCACTCTCCACTCTCCATGCAAACACTTAGGTCCTATGCCTCTTCTAAGACTTAACACTACTTCCCTAAAATGTTTCCTGACACAACCTGGACAAATGTTGTCTCCCTCTTTTGATTCCTTTGGCACCCCCTACCGTGACAACTGGCATAACTAAGCCCATATTTCCGATCTCTTTTCTAAATATGTCTTGTGAAAGAAGGATAATCACTTGTGAATCTTCCATAATAGGAAGCACACAATACACATCCACTCACAGATTTTGTGAGTTAAGTTTCTGTAGCTAAAACAAAAGGATAGTGTTCTTAATAGACTTCCACAGAGCTGGCAGGGAAAGATCAAGAGCTGACGGGGTGGGGGCACAGAATTAGGTTAGTATGAGAGTAGCACAATTTTTTTATGTTATTTGTTCTTTTTAATTACACATGATAGCAGAGTTTTATTTTGACATGTTTATACACACATGGAGTATGTCTTATTCTAATTAGGATCTCAGTCTTGTGGATGACATGATGTTGAGACTGTGATGTATTCATATTTGTATATAGGAAGGTCATGTTAGATTCATTTCATTGTCTTTCCTATTCCTATTCCCCCTCTCTTCCTTTCCTTTCCCTTTGTATAATCCACTGAACTTCTATTCCACCCCCTCTTGCCCATTGTATATTAGCATCCACATATCAGAGAGAACATGCACCCTTTGGTTTTTTAAGACTGGCTTATTTCACCAAGTCCATCCATTCACCAGCAAATGTCATAAAGTCATTCTTTTTATGGCTGAGTAATATTCCATTGTGTATTTATACCACATTTTCTTTACCCATTCATCTATTGAAAGGCACCTACGTTGACTTCATAGCTTAGCTATTGCAAATTAAGTTGCTGTAAGCATTGATATGGTTCTGTCACTATAGTACACTGATTTTAACTCCTTTGGATATATACCTAAGAATGGCATAACCAGGTCAAATGGTGGTTCCATTTCTAGTTTTCTGAGGAATCTCCATACTGCTTTCCAGAGTGGTTGCACCAATTTGCAGTCCCATCAGGATTGTATGAATGTACCTTTTCCCCTGCATCCTCAAACATTTGTTGTTGCTCGCATTCTTGCTAATTGCCATTCTGACTGGAGTGAGATAGAATCTCAGTGTAGTTTTAATTTTCATTTTTCTAATTGCTAGAGATGTTGAACATCTCTTCATATTTTTTGACCATTTGTATTTCTTCTATGAAGTGTCTGCTCAGTTCCTTTGCCCATTTATTGATTGGGTTATTTGCTTTTTGAATTATTTACATATCCTGGAGATTAAGAGAGCAGCACAGGTTCTGATGGACTCATTGTGCCTGTTAAATAAACAAAATCTGATCCTTGAAATCTGGATTAGACTCTTGTTTCCCTTTGGTTTTGTCCTAGTCTGATGCCTCTGGTTATTGTCTATTAGTGTTAACCTGAAATGACCTTCCCCAGGGAATCAGAGGTTATTTGAAATGCCATTTTCTGTCTCACTATCCCCTTCAGAAGTAAGTGTTGTTTTTCAGATCAGTGATTTTTCACAGTATATTCTCTCAGGGCTTTACAAAAAGGCCTTGTGAGGTAAACATAAAGCCTAGGGATAAAGATCTCTCCCCAACTTAGACTGCAGCAGTTTCTAATTTTTACTTCTTCTATATTGTTAGGTTCAATGTTATAGTTTGTATACTTATCTGATGCCAAGAATTGAACCCAGTGCCTCACACATACTAGGCAAGTGCTCTACCACTGAGCCACACAACCCTAGCCCTCAAAGAAGGTTCTTAAAACTCTACAAATAATATTAAATCAGAACCTCCTGTAAGGATTCTTATTTTCACATACCCAGTATTTTTAAGTTGGTGAGATTCTGCATGTTGTGGGATCCCATAGAGATGTTCAAATCCATGTAAGGAGAAATCCAAACCAACGGAGGTAGGACCTGTAGAGCCCAGGATACCAACTGAGTTTTGCTTCTCAAGAGGACAATCAATTAAGGAGATTCAGTTAACAACGGTGTAGCAAGACAACTAGACCAGGTGTAGAAAGACCTGAACTTGCTCTGATAAATCAGTAAATGCTCTGTAAGGACTCTCTGTAAGATGTTATATTCAGGTATTGTTGGGATACAAAAAATGCATATATAAGACAAAGCTCTGGTCTCTTATTATGTTGCCTTAGCTGTGTGCTAAAGCTCTCTGTGTCTTCATTTATAAACAAATTCCTTTATTACCTGTAAAAAACAAGGTTATAAAGTTTTAGATTTTTCTTAAAATAAAATATATTGCATATAAATTTATATACCTATAATATATAAATTTCCTTTAACCAAACACTCCTTTATTTAACAATTAATTTAGAGATAAAAGTGTAAATTAGTAGGAGACAAAATATTTACTTAAATTCATACCTAAGTTAAAACTATTTTACATATCACTTATAGGATTTTTTTGGGGGAAAAGAATGCTAAAGAGAAAGTAAAAAAGATTATGATGTCACAGAAAGGAGAGACAGAACCATATCCTTCATATAAATTTTGAGCATTCTGTTAGCCCTGATCATTATACCACGCTGTAGATATGTAGAGCTAGAACAAGGATTCTCAGAGAATTAGGGAAGGTTTGTTATTCTACAGGCAGGGAGAAGGGAGAAAAATGAGTATTTTTCTAACGACAAATGCCCATGTATCTGAAAGGGAACTCCTGAGAGATAGACTCTATGTCCTCCTCTAACCCCATCACTAAGCCTGGTGATAAATGTCACAGATGGGCACATGACACTTATGTGAATGATGGGGAGACCTTGAAAAAGTTAAAAACTGCCTTGGAATGTTGAAGCTGATACATTCTACAATTTGGTTTCTCATTACTTGAATCTCATAAAAATAGAATGCAGAATTTGTAGCTGCTTGTTCAACTGGACAGTACAACAGCATGATAAGCTAGACCCCTCTGCAGGGCCTGTACTTTTCTTACACCCTCCACACTAAAAGCATATAATTACCATTTCTTTGTTGCAATGCATTACTGAAGGATAGAGAACACAAATTTGAGATTTCTGTTCACTTTCAGAAATCACTTGTTTAGGTGCCAAAACTCACGGAACTTTTAGATAGATACTTAGCCATTTTGAAGTTAAGCCAGTTTCAATTTACCATTAGCTTTGACATCCACAAAACTTCCAAATTTCTCTTCCCAAAGGCCTAGATCCTCTTGATTTTCCTGTTAATAAAAAAGGGGAACTAATTGAACTTATAAATTGTAACAAATGTGGTCGCCACTCTTATAGGCTTATGCCCCTAATTATCAGGAAGTAGTTAATGATTTGAGTTCATTGCCCCTAATCCCCTATATGACTTAAGTTCTCCAATCTTTGAGGGGAAAATGTTAGGTAGCAGCTAGTAATGAGTAGTGAAATATAAACCAATAGCATAGCAGGATCACAGGGTTTCTTTGAAATTGCCTTTAATGAACAATCAAGTAACTTATAGAAGAACAACAGGTGTACTAACCCAGAGAATAAGCAGGTAGAAACAAAGGGAGTCAATTAAGAAATATATCTAGAAAAGGATAACTCCAGGCAGGTATATTGAGGTCATTGTGAAGTTAGGTTTTATGGACATATGTTTCTCAATCTATTTCAGAAGGGAAATTTCATTAATAGCATGGTGCACTAAGATGAAGTCTGCTTGATTATTGACCCCAGAACCCGCATTAACATAGAACTGACTGGTATTGAATAGGATGGTCACCAGGACAGATCTGGAAAGAACAATCCAGGGTCAAAAACTCCCCAGCCTGAGGTGAAGGAGGAGATAAAACATCTGATTGGTAAAGACTGCAGAAGGTGGTATCTAGTTCTTCTGACAAACATCAAACAGTAATAAACTTGGAACCTGCATTGTTTCCTTTATTATTCACTTCCTTTTTTTTTTTTTGGTGTAGATAGACACAATATCTTTATTTTTATGTGGTGCTGAGGATTGAACCCAGTGCCTCACGCTTGCGAGGCAAGCTCTCTACCACTGAGCTACAACTCCAGCCCTTTATTGTTCTCTCCTTGGAGGTGAACTCCCACTCCTCCACCCCCACACCCAGCTATGCACACTGCTTGAGCCTTATTATACTTTCACTCATAGTAAAATAATAAAATTCTATTGGTTGGCTCTTCAAGTCTGACTTTGCATTTTCTTTTGTAAGGACACAAGAACTTAAGTTTGGAGCTTCATCTCCCAATTCTCCTGTGATGCAACATCTGCACATTTTATTTGGATTATTAAGAAATAATAATAAAAGGAATTCATGTTTTAGAATGAGTTTGTGATGTCAGTATATTTACTAAATCAAACCTGTATTTTATATAAATGTCATTAATCATCCTTATTTTTTTCTTGTGGTAAAATAACCTAAAATTTACCATTTTTACCATTTTCAAGTATGCAGTTCACAGCATTAAGTAAATTAGCTCTGTTGTGTGATGATGTTCATTATCATCATCTCTCTCTAGAATGTTTTTCATCTTTCCAAACTGAACTTCTCTATCCATTAAATAATAACTCCCCATTTCCTCCCATGGTAACTCCTTTCTCTTTCTGTCTCTAAGAATTTGACTGCAGTAGGTACCTCATAAAGTGGAATTATATATAGCATTTGTTCTTTTGTGATTGGCTTATTTCACTTAGTATAATGTTTTCAAGTTACATTCATTTTGCAGCATTACTCAGAATTTCCTTTCTTTTAAAGGCTGAATAATATTCCATTGTAAGTATAATAGTACACTTTGTTTATGTACTCATCATCAAGAGACTTGAGTTGCTTCCTCCTTTTGTCTACTTTGAATAAGCTGCTGTAACTTCACTTTTGAGTATAAACCCAGAAGAACTATTGGATCATACTATAATTCCATTTTTAATTTTTTGAGGAATAGTTATACCTTATGACATGAATATTTGCATATGAACTAAAGTGATGTGAAAGCACTTTGAAAAATGGTAGTGTTTATATATGCAAAAATTTTTAAAAATTGGGCTGGGCATGTAGTTCAGAGGCAGAGTATTAGCTTAGCAAATATTGAGGCCCTGAGTTCCATCTCCAGCACTGGGGTGAGGGGGAGAAAAACATTTTTCATGTAAACATGTAAGGTAAAACATTGAGCTCAAATAATTCCAGTCTGTTTTGAGAGACCCTAAATAGAGATTTGTTTTTGCTGAGATGGGCACTTTTCCCTTTATCTTCCAATTAGCTAAACTACAGCTATATTCTTTTTTTTTAACACAATGCCTTATTTATTTATTATGTAGTGCTGAGGTCCCGCCTGTGCTAGGCGAGTGCTCTACCGCTGAGCCACAATCCCAGCCCTACAGCTATATTCTTATGTTGACTGGGATGGCAATGACTACTTGGGTCCACAATCTTTTAAAATTTTTTTAGTTGTTGATGGACCTTTATTTTTTATTTATTCATTTATATGCAGTGTTGAGAATTGAATTCAGTGCCTTACACATGCTAGACAAATGCTTTACCTACACAGCTACAACCCTAGCTCTAAGGTCCATAATCTTTTGATCTAGAGCTATGAACTTTGCCAGATTTTCCTTTTCCTTAGGAGAATGAAAATGTTTTTTAAAAAATTGCATGTATATGAAATGCATATTTCTTTAAAAGGAACTCTTTGTCCATTTCTGGGTTATTTGTTCATAATTAAAAGTTCTGTAAGGTGGACCTCTACATTTTTTTAAAACAAGAGCTCTGGTCTTTTTATATCTATATTTTATTTTATTTATTTTTATGTGGTACTGAGGATCGAACCCAGTGCCTCGCACATGCTAGGCGAGTGCTCTACCACTGAGCCCCAGCACCAGCCCCATGATCTGTGTATTTTTAAAAGGCATGCCTGAATCCTTAATGAAGGCAATAGTATCCATATGGATGGGGTTTAGAGTCCATGAATTCTATCAAAAAATATGAAATTCAAAAACTTTTCTATAGGGATGGTTCAGTTTTTGCCAAATTCTTGCAAAGGGTCTGTGACTCAGGCTTTAACATTACGTTCTTCAAAAGGTCTTTTGCAGATTCCTTGGTCAGATTCCTTCTTGTATTCTCCCAATCATTTAGTCAATGCCTGCCTTTCCCAAAAGATTCTAAGTTCCTAACACATGTTTGGGATTTTTTTTTATTCAAGGTTTATTCTTTTTATCCAACATAATGCCTGGAAAACAAGCAGGTACTTAAGATGTATCTGTTTTTACAAATAAATGAATATATGAATGAATAAATGAAGGAAAGAATAAGATGATAAGGCAAGCAAAGAGATGTAATGTCATTTATATGTAGTAGAGTATTAACAAGTACTCTTCTGGATAAGGGAGGAACAGAATTCATTATGTGCCACAAAATCATGATTGTGGTGAAGAACATAAAAAAGATAAATTGTTCCATCTAAATTACCTGAGAGGTGTTGATTGATGCACTCTCCTCATTTTCTTTGGTAGTTCTGTTTTAACATAAAGAAAATTATTTCACTCAATGATGGAAAGACGGAATTTTGTTCAATAATAAAGATTTTCATTTTCAACTTTTAAGATGTCATAAATTATATCCTTTAACTTACTAAATATAACACCATTATAAACTCAAGCTTAGAAAATTGAATATTAATGAACAAACCAATAGCTTGATTGTTTACACAAATGTACATGCACTTGAAAATTTGTTAATACTTTAAAATAACTTTATTTTTATTATAAGTGTAATATATGCTCATAATATCTCAACAAAAAATATGTAAACAAGGTAGAATACAGCTTTCCCCACTCATTGTACTCTGGTACACAGCAACACAATGTAGTCTCTCAGAATAATTGTGACAATTTATTCTAAAATTTTCTTTTACCCAAAGTTGTATTTGAGTGTTTATCGCCCAACATTTTTTTGTTTTGGTATTATACCACTGAGCTACATCACCATCCCTTTATATTTTTATTTTTTATTTTGAGGCAGTGTCTCACTAAATTGCCCAGGCTGGCCTCAAACTTGAAATTCTCCTGCCTTAGATTTCCAAGTTGCTGGTTTTACAGGTATGCTCCACTGTGTATGGCTCTCCTCACATTCTTTTTGTGCGTATATGTGTGGTATTAGGGATTGGACCCAGGGTTGCTTAACCACTGAGCCACATTCCCAGCCCTTTTAAAATTTTTATTTTGAGATAGGGTCTCACTAAGTTGCTCAGGCTCGCTTTGAACTTACAATTCTCCTGCCTCAGCCTCCTGAGCAGCTGTGATTACAGGCATGCACCACAGCTCTCCTCACATTCTTAACAACATGGGGCTTTACCAATCTTTTGGGTCTTTGCCACTGTAAAATTTTAGAAAAGATAAAGCATTTCAGTTTGTATCTCTATGGTCATTAATGATGTAAATTGCTTTTTTATACATTTTATGGTACTTCTATTTCTTCCTCTATGAATTATTTATTCACATTCATTATACATTAATTTGTGTCTTTAATGTAAAACACAGAACATAGATAAAAGAACACAGAGTTTAAAGGATAATACTAAGTGAATAGGTATAAATATACCACTGTGCTTAAGCAACTGAAATAACTTGTTCCTTTGGAGTATCTATACACCTCTTTTCAAATCTATCTGCTTTCACCTCATACCTTCAGAGATAGCACTATGAAAGTTTGTGTTAATCATTCTCTTGGTGTTTTAAAAAAGTATTCTCTGTCTCTCACAAACAGACACACACACACACACACACATAAATCCCCAAAAATACATTATTAGGTTTTATACATTATTAGGTTTTACCTTTTAAAATATATATATATATATATATATATATATATACACACACACACACACACAGTTTATATTCTTTTGTGATATGCTTTTTTTTTTACTCAAAATTAATTTTTTGACATTCATTATGTTAACACAACTTGCTATAGTTTATATCCCCCATTTTTAAATTTGTTTATTGTTCTTTTGCTTATGGATTTAGATGATCTTTCCTATATTGTACATATATATATATATATATATATATATATATATATATATATATGTATGTATATATATATATATATATATATATTTTTATATATATATATATATATATTTTTTTTTTTTGGTATTAGGGATACTTAACCACTAAGCTACATCCCCAACCTGAAAAAAATCTATTTATTGATTTATTTTTCTTATTTTATTATTTTTTTTACTTTTAAAGTACAATATAGAATCCAAGTGTACAGTAACAATAATCACAGGTCTGCATGGGTGAACAAAAATCAAAGGATAGCTTTAAATATCTTATACATTTAGGAAACAGTGCTAATAATCAGAAATAGACTTAGTCAAAGCATACATATATACGACAGGTCTTCAAATGACAGTGTGGCCTTTCTGTGTCAGATACAATGTATAAAAGAGAACACTTATTGGTTGTCTTGTCAGTAAAATTATATAAACTTTCATTTTATAAGCTTTTACATAAGACTTAGACAAATCTTAGATAGATAGTTCTCAGATGCATACATATACCTAGTTACATATATTTTGGATATCAACAATATTGTTATAATCTAAATAACAGTTGTTTGTTTAACCAATTACAAAATAATCATTTAAGACTTTAAAACAGCTACAAACCCTAATTCCTTTAAGACTTAGTTTCCCCAAGTAATAAAACCTAACAAAAAAACAAGAAAATCATTGATAGATAAGAGCAGATTAACGATTCTGACTTTTCTTCATATCAGTACATTAAAGTTTAAATAATTTTGTGCTAATTATAGCCAATTTAATCATAAACACAAACTTTTTGAAATTTACCTTCCACAAACCTTCTGTGACTTACTTTGACATTCACAAATTTACATCCTTAGTTTTGTCCCCTTTCATCTTGAACTTTAGTCCAAGAATATTACTTTGCCAGCAAAATACGTTCTCCTCAAGATACATTTCTTTCACCTCCTAACTTTCCATTCTAAAATATTTCCATACCTATAACTTTCTTTTATCATTTTAGTTTCAGACCCTTTTTAAATTTTTTTAGTTTAAATATCCATATATATTTTCACATATTCATATGTTTATATATATTCATGTATATATATGAATATACCATAACAGCAACCAAATTCCTGCTCATGCATTTTCATATATATATTCAGTTACATAATTATAAACTATAACTAAAACAAAACATTAACCTCAAAAGAAAAATAACTATATACAAATTTACATCCATTTAAGTATTTTCATGTATATTTTTACATATATATTCATTTTTGTATTCCTATATTTGAATAAAAATTTCAATCCCTAAACTAACCCTATTTATTTTTCTATGTTAGTCCTATACCCACCATATACCTTGGAGAACTTCTATACATATAAACCATAACATTTTACATGATTGTACCTATGTATTTGGGGATATAAATTCATAAATTCACAAATTCACATAAAAACCCATGGATATTTTATATATATACTCATTTCCATAAGTATAACCTAAATTTCACACATAACAATATTGCTTACCTTAAAAATATCCATAGATAAAAGTATATATATATATAAATTTTGATATGTGATATTACCTCTATATTCATATTTATATTCATATATATTGACATATATGTTCCAAAGGTAACCCATCCCCTAAACCAAAGCCATAATTCAGAACTAAATCTAGTCTTACTCATAATCATGAGCCTTTTTAACAAAAATTATAAACATAACTTTGAATATCCATATATATTTTCACATATATATTCTGTATATATTTATATACATTCATATACATATGTATATACCCTAATGGCAACCAAATCCTACCTATAAGTTTTTATATATATTCTGTTACATAATCATATTTAGAATCTTAAGAAAATTATAAACATTCATCTCAAAAGAAAAATAATTATATACAAATCCATACCCATTTAAATATTTTCATGTATATTTTTACATATATATTCATATTTGTTTTCATATATATGGAAAAAAGTGTTCAAACCCAATATTACTGTGTTGTGGACTATTTGATTCTTGAAGTTGAGAAGGGTTTGCTTGATGTACATAGATGCTCCGTTGTTTGGGTCATGATTGTTGTCTTGTTGACATATAATTCCCTTAAGCAATATGAAATATCCTTCTTTGTCCCTTGTGATTAACTTTGGCTTGAAGTCCACTTTATCTGATATGAGAACAGAAACCTCTGCTGTTTATGTCATCCATATGAGTGGTATGTTTTTTCCTATCCTTTCACCATCAGTTTGTGGATGTCTTTGCCTATGAAGTGAGTTTCTTGGAGATAGCACATTGTTGGGTCTTGTTTTTAATCCAATCTGCCAGTCTATGTCTTCTTTAAGAATTTTTTTTAGTTATACATGGACACAAGATCTTTATTTTGTTTATTTATTTTCATGTGATGCTGAGGATTGAAACCAGTGCCTCACATGTGCAAGGCAAGTGTTCTGCCACTGAGCCACAACCCCAGCCCCAGTCTATGTCTTTTGATTAATGAGTTTAGGCCATTAATGTTCAAGGTTATTGCTGAAATATGATTTGTGTTCCCAGTTATTTTGGTTTATTTATACTTTTTAATTTGAATTAGTTTATCCTTTGATTAACTATTCCTTTAATATAGTTCTTCCCTTTGCTGGTTTTCACTTTTTTTTTTCATTTCTTCTTCATGGAATATTTTGTTGAGAATATTCTGAAGTGTAGGCTTTCTGGTTTCAAATACTTTTAATTTTTGTTTATCATGGAAGGTTCTTATTTCATCCTCAAATATGAAGCTTAATTTTGCTGAATATAGGATTCTTTGTTAGAGCTCAGTATATGTTATTCCAGCACCTCCTAGCTTTGAGGATCTGGGTTAGGAAATCAGCTATGATCTGTGTTGGTTACCCCCTCCATGTAATCTGATATTTTTCTCCCATAGCCTTTAAAATTCTATCCTTATTCTGTATGCTAGGCATATTCATTATAATATGACATGATGTGGGCCTGTTGTAATTTGTACACTGAGATCCTGTAAACCTCTTATATTTGACTTTCCATTTCATTCTTTAGATTTGGAAAATTTTCTGATATTATTTCATTGAAAAGACTGTGCATTCCTTTAGCTTGTATCTTCATGCCTTCATCTATCCTGATAAATCTTAAATTTGTTTTTTTCATGATATTCCATAATTCTTGGAAGTTCTGTTCATGGTTTCTTAACATTTTCTCTCTGGGTCAACTCTATTTTCAAGAGTATATATTCATTGTCTGAGGTTCTGTCTTCCAAATGGTCTAGTCTGTTGGTGATGCTTTCTATTGAATTTTAAATTTGGTTTGTTGTTTCCTTAATTTCAAGGATTTCTGTTAGTGTTTTTTTTTTTTTTTTTCAGAATCTCTATTAAAGTGATCTTTTGCTACCTCTATTTGCACTCTTACATCATCTTTTACTTTGCAGATTAATTTAACCATGT